ATCCCCCAATAGAAAGTGCCTCAATTCTCAATCTAATGGCTGCTTCCTTCGTGCCTACAGATTCTTCCAATGGCTTGACCTATAATAGATGCCCCTTGTCTTGGTCCTTATTCCGGGGCAGACTCCCCTAGATTCTCAACTAAATGGCACTTGGGTACCCCAATTTGGCTTCTGATGGAGATCTTGAGCTGTTTCTGGTCTCTGCCCCCTTAGGCCCTGAATTAATGCTGGCTTTCTGGCTACTCTCTCTCCTTCCACATTTTCAATGAAACTTCGCTTCCAGCCTGTGTTTCCCTGCCTAGCTGGGGGCCTGGACTGATATAATAATGCCCAGATAGCCTACAAAGTCATCTTTAAGCCTCATCTTCTTCACATTAGCATCCATTCTTTCATTTTTCCCAGTGAGATTTAGCCATAATCCATGTTGAGATCCTGGGGCCTCTTCTCCAATTTCACTCCAGTCCCTGATCAGACTCAAAAAAAGGGAGAGAGTTTCTAGAAAATCCCATTCTGTAATTGAAATGATGCTCTTTCTCCACTATGTCTCCCTGGGGCTTGACAGAAATCTACTGGGATGTGATCCGAGAGAGACCGCTCCCTCCCATGAAATTTCCTTATCATGGCCACCCCCAGATCTTTCTCAGGGTTAGAGTCTCCACCATGGTCCATCTGACTTGGGGTGCAAGAAGGGAACCCTATTCAAGGTGAAAGCATTGGTCCTTGGAACGCCCAGGATGGGGAGTGGTAGGAAAGAGGGTGGCAGTAGTATCGGGAGAAGCACTGTGCCGTGGTTGCTGAAGCACGCCTACCTGTTCTTGCGGAGTATGCTAAGAATGTAAGGTCCTGACTGCTCTTTTCCTGGGCCATTTCTCAGGATTGTGGTTGCAACAAGTAACCTTGAAGCATGAGATAAAGTCTTCCCCTAGACCAAGAGCAGGCTTGGTCTATAGAAGCGGTGGCTCTCTCAAGCTCAGTGCTCCTCGGCTGTGACATAAACCCACTGTGTGTGAAACATATACCTGGGCACCTTTAGGTCACCCTCTAGGACTTGGGGGCGGGGGCAAGGATAGAGGATGCAACATAAGGTTCATGCTGCTTGTTGTGCTATGAGTAACAAAGTCCTTTGCCTTTGACCCAAGAGTCTCCATCCTCACCAGCATCCTTGAAACAGGAGCAGAAACAGGAGCTTGGTAGTTTGCAAGCTCACTTGTAAAGAGGGTAAAATCCCAGACCCTAACAAGTGGCCGCTTCCATTTCTTCCTCATCTCCTAGGCGTCTGGGGAAAATATGTCACTGGCACCTAGCTAGCTGTTTATTATTATTATTATTATTATTATTATTATTATTATTAATTTGGTTAATAGCGATAATGAACCAATATGTAAAGCACCTCGTATTTACAAAGCAATTTACTATATAATCCCGACACCAATCCTTTGAGGTCAATATCATTAACCTTATTTCATAAATGAGGAAACTGAGACTCAGTGAGGTTGGCCAACACCCAAGGACATTCGACCAGTGTATGGCAGAGCTGGGCCTTGAACCCTGGCACAGGGCATGCAAATCTTGTGTTTTTCCTTTTCTGCTTGTGAGTTGGGTGAGGCAGGAGGGAGGCGGGCAAGGGGTGGGTTAGGTGAACTTGATTGAAATGTTTTCTCCTTTGCAGACAGTGAGGTGAAGAGAGGGTCATTCCCTGTCAAAACCTCGGGCGGCACTTTGGTGCCACTGTAATGGGACACCTTTGCCCTCCCCCAGCCTTGGCCAGCCTTTCTCTTCCAACCTGAGAACTTATTCCTGGCTCCTAGCACACTGGATTTTTCACATTTTCATCCTTTCTCACAACCTTTATTCTCTTTCTGGAACTTTCCTAATTTTCTATCCTCAATTTTGTGCATCCAACTGAATTCTCTTCCCTCTTCTCAGTTCTTCAAGGATTTGAAAATAAGTGAATCTCCAGGCATTTCCACAGTGTGGAGCCAGGCAGTCTGGCTTCATCACGTGGCCCTGCCCTCCTAGACTAGTGGTCTCTCACGTGCACAATGGAGGTGCTGACAGGGCTGCGGAACGGGGGGATGCAGCGAAGAGCTCTGCACAGAGCCTGGTATGGTTGAGGCCTTCGGCACTGATGATTAGTGTCATCTCCCCATATCACCCAAAGAACATTGCACACTCACGTTCAAAGGGCTCTAGTGCCAGGAAAGGAGGAGAGACAAGGAGTGGGCAGCTGAGCGCAGAGCAAATGGAAACATGGGGAAGGAGAGACGACTCACCGCAGAACCATCATGTAGAGGGGGTTGTGGGAAATGCAGGCGATGAAGGCCGCGAAGGAGATGATGAAGATGGCCGGGAGCAGGAAGTGGGCACAGGGGGTGGGGCACGATCCTGTCTTTGCTGAAGCAGATCCCCCAGTCACACAGCTGCAGTTCAAATAGATCTTGAAAAGAAGAAGGAGGAGAAAGGGGGAAGGCAATTGTTATCACTTAAGCCTGCACGCACGTCGAACCAACCCTTTGGTTTGACAGTCCCTCCAGTTTCAAGCCCTCTGCCCTCCGGGTCCCTTGGGGAGTTGAGTGAGGCTGAATTTGGAGGTCAGGTGAGGGTTTCAAGGTGCCCCATGGATCCCGCCTCTGATCAGTGTTTGGGCGATAGAAACTATATTCGCCAGGACCATTCATCCAGTGTGGGCTGGGCTCCTGTAGCAGTTACACCCACATCAGGATATGCAGGATTCCACTGCCAGGCAAGGCCCATCGAGCTTGGGACCAGGGGCTAGAAAAGCTGTCCTCAGGGCCAGACCACCCAGCAGCAATGGTTTTGTGGCTTGTTGATTTTTCTGTTTGTGTGTATATCGCAGAGAGAGTAAGGAAAGTATAAATAGGAGGAGACAACAGCGAAAACACAACTGAATCTACTGAGCTCTTTATCTTCCAGAGCTTCCCGTATGAGAGGAATTCCTTATGTCTGTAAAGTCTTCTAGAGAAGAAGGTCCCTGTCTCAATACTGTTGCACAACTCGCCTTGGTGACCACTGTCACTGCCTGCGTTAGGTGATCTTCACCTTTCCTATTGCAGTGTCTAATGGACCAGCCTAGGACCATTTAAGTGTCAAAGCAGTTATAAGGCCAGGCTGGGATCTAATGAGCTAGTACGCTTCCTTCCCACACAGCA